TCTGTATTCAGCCTCGCAAGATGTATAACAATGTCAGCTTGGAATCCACATCCTGGAAATAGCTGTTCATTTTTACGGAACCCATGTAACAATAAGCCTTTAGGGAGTTAATTTTGACCCAAATCTGGTACACTGAGTTCTTTAAATTCACATGAACGTAAAAACTTGAATTCTCCTCACTAAAACCACTGTTGCTATACCTCATGATTTTGGGCAAGCTTTTGCTTAGTTACATAAGAGATGCTTTGCAACAATACACTGTTCTTAATGGATGAGAAAGGCACAAAGGAACCAGTCCATTCCAGGGATGGTGGTCGCTTGCCCCGAATCACGAGGTATAGCAACAGTGTCTTTAGTCTGAGGAATTCAAATCATTATGTTTATGTGCAGTCAGATAACTCAGTGCACCAGATTTTATTCAAATTTAACTCGCAAATGGCTTATTGACACCATGACAAGTTGTGCCCCACTCTCATGGAATGACCCGGTCAGGGGTTCGAATCCAGTGGCTTTCCTTTCTGTACACCTACCATGCCTACATGTACACGTACATGTAACTTGGTCAAGCAAAACATGTACACATATTTCATCTTCCCTTGTTTCTCTTTTAACATGAAAGCCTCTAAGAGAAAAAAGGCCCACTTAAAGGTCCTAATTCTGCCATGTGATGTGAAGGTTTTAAGTGTGTGTTTGACTGTTTCGTGTATTTACTTTGTGAATGGTAAATAAATGTTTGGGCTTCAGGACACAGTTGCCACATATCATCTCTGAAAATAGGTACATGTACCTTGAAAATAGGTACATGTACAGTCTGGAGGCATCATTCAATAAGAGCATGTTCTAATTGGTACTTAAGAGTGGTTAAATTCAACTTTCAACTTGGAGTAAAGTGTGTTTTCAGAGACAGATTAGTCTCCTGGATCTTTTCAAAATCTAGTTTTTCCCACAAAAGATTGAAGGTTTTAAGTGTGTGTTTGACTGTTTCGTGTATTTACTTTGTGAATGGTAAATAAATGTTTGGGCTTCAGGACACAGTTGCCACATGTCATCTCTGGAATTTCAAAATCACAAAGTGTAGTGGTCATCCCAAAACAGCAGTTGATAATATTGTGCCTTTAATTCTCAAGACTATGGGTGTAGCTTTTGATGTAGAGTTTGGTTCATTTTCTTGGATTTTTGTGTCATAAATTTGTTGCTGACAAGGGATTGTAGGCACTTCATCAGTGTGATGACTGAACAACTTGCCCCCGCGTTTAACTTCAGATGTTTTTCCACAATAGCTGTGATGCATCTGCAGTGTGCAGGATGTATGGTTTCATTTCATTCATGATGTTGCAGAAGAAGGCTGCATCCTGAAAAGTCACAGATGTATACTCCTTTTTTGACTAATTGCTGCCCTTTGGACCGTCCATTATTTTACTCCATTTAATCAGTGCAAGTCCACCAGCCCCCAGTTATCACGCTTTGGCCATCCGTCACGTAGAAACTTCCATACACAAGACTCATTTTGTCTGTGCGTCATGCAACGGCAACAGCAATATCCCAACTTCCACTGGCTGTGTTGGATTCTTTTACCTTCTGTCTAATTGCTTTGCTTTCGGGACTGGATGAAATTGAGGGGGATCATTTATTTCTGTTGACCTTGTTACGTCAGCCTGATGCACTTGTTTCCTTCTTGGTTTGTCATCCACAAAGCCTTATCTTATTTGTGAGCTTTGTGTATTGCACTGATCTCGTACCCTGTTGTATCCAACTGAAGACTCCAGAACCTTGGGTATTTCCTAAGACTTGGCCAATTCAAATAACTGAGTATTGAACTATTTGACCTTCCATTTAAATGAATATTCTGAAAATATTTGGTTTTACCAAATTCCCACAAAAGTATAAACAAAATATATCAAATAGGCATAAAAATATCTTTTTACAAGTTAAGAAATGACATACTTGAAGGAGATGTACATATAATGCATTCAGCTGCCTTAAAGTTTGCATGTAGAATACAGTTACATAATCAAATCATGGAATTTTTCTTTTTATTACACTGATTTTCATATCCATTGATTAATGATATTTGAATATTCAAAAGCTGCTCAAATAATCAGCATAGTCCTTTATAGTAGTTCTGTGATTTTGGCTTCACGGTCCAGCTTGCACA